GCTTTAGTTTTAACTTCCATTATCACTAAAAGCAAGGACCCATGCTAACTGGTGACATAGCTACTGCATTCTTAAGTAGTATTCCCTAAAACTCAAAGAGGTTTATCACACTAAACATTTTCTCTCCGTATGTGCTGGGGTACAGAGGGAAAGAATAAGAGGGAGCTGGCCATGGTAGTCCACACTTGTCATCCCGGCCCTCTGGGAGACTGAGGCAGGAGGATCGCACAGGTTTGAGCCCATCCTGGGCAACTCAGCGACTTAGTGGACCTCTGTCACAAAAAAATAAACAAATAAAAAAGGTTGGAATGGAACTCAGTGTGACGTGTCGTGGGTTGCTGGGTTCAACTCTTCCCAGGGCCACCAAAAAAAAAAGGACAAGGACAAGATGACAGGTGATAGTTGGACAGAGTCCACTGGATTGTCCTAAAAGTGGACAAATGAAAATGTTTTAACACTGCATAATCTAAACAGATCTTTTTCTTAGAAGTCTGTTGACCAGGCTTTCTCTACCCCTTTATTTTTAATTGAGCAGATCCATTTTAATAGTGCACAGTAACAGGTGAAAAGGATTCTTTTGGCTTACTTCCCAGTAGACTCTTTAGAAGCAGACTGGCCACACGCAGTTCCAAGCACAATGCGGCCTTTGCTTTTGCGGCAATTCAAAAAGAAAAACTCGGTGTTCCTGCTTCCCCTTTCCTGAGGTCAGCCGGGCTCCCGCTGGATGAAGTCAGTCCCACCAGGGAAGCTGGCTGGCCTCACAGCCTGGGAAAGAGCACTCCAGATAGGAAAGCAAAGGCACACAATGGAAACCTGCAGCGTTTGTTTTTCCACTTGGGAGAGGCAGAGTAGACAACATCCTCTCAGGACAAAGCCAAGTCGAGACTCAGAATCAGAATCAGACGTTAACTCTTCCTAATCCGAAGGACTTTCACTCCCAGAATAAAATAAGGAAAAGCTGATACCTTACTGCAAGCATTCTCTGAAAACTAAACTCCGTGATATCCCAGTCAGGTGCTTCTGGTTTATGATATATTAAACTCTAAAACATTCATGTGGAAAGTAAAAAGCATACAACTCAAGTAACATTAGTAAGTGTACACAATAATATTTACCGCATGATAGACTATTGTCAAAACACTTTGTATGGGCCAGGGATTTAGCTCAGTGGTTCCAGTGCCTGCCTCACAAGCGGAGGGACCCGAGTTCAATACCCAGTACCAAAAAAAACCCCTCCAAAACAAAAAACACTTTCTAGTACTTTCAACTAAGGTTCGGCAAGGTCCCCAAAATAGGACCCCCTGAGACTTGTGTAAATACCGTTATGTTTTACTGGGACACAACCACACTCATTTGTCCTCAGACCGTCTGTGACAGCCTTTCTGCCACAATGCAGAGCTGAGTGCCTATGGCAGAGGCTGTATGATCTGCCAGGCCATATTTGGCCCTTGTCAGGAAAAGCAATCCCTATGCTTAACCCAGGGGCCTTGAACTCCATCATCCTAGCAAACACTGGATCAGCTGGTTAAAGCACCTTCCTGGGCTCTCTCTCCAGGGTCAGGATTCAGTAGGTCAAGGGAACCCAAACTTGCACTTCCAATAAGTGCACAAGCTGCTGGTCCGTGAACTAAACTTTGGGAATCACTGATCTAAAAGGTCTCATATCATCACAGATTGATAAGCTCAGTAAAGCAGGCGTGCTGTCACAAAGTGAAAATGGATGCATGTAGGAATGAGAGAACTCTCTTGACTTAGCAATACTTTGGTTCACAAACAGAAGCATTTGGGACAATTTTGCTTCCGTTTGTGAACTCTCCATCCGTTGATGAACAGGACCACAGCCGTCTTCCCCAGAACCCTGAAACAAATTAAGTTTGTGAACTTGGTGGCCAACAGAGTAGCCACTTGCCGTAACAATCAGACAATCATCAGCTGCTCACCCTAACACTCATTCACCAGAAATTCACGAGGCACCAGCAGGATCCAAGGGCAGTTTCTGGGAGGTGTAAAACCCAATCTCTAGAGAACCCATTAAATCCATTTTTATCAAAAGCCAAAGCACATGCAGCTATAGTCTAGTACCTAACTGGACTATTAAGTACTAGCATATGTGTGGGAAAAAACCTGACACCTATAGTTTATAATCCAGCGGTTAATCTAAAGTTCCTTTACATAAATTGCATTCTTTAAACAAATCCTAACACGTAGAGCTAATATGGGAAAGAAAATAAAGGATGTCAACTGAGGTATTTCTCTAGAGCTAAGTTCAGGCAGGACAAAAGAGGACGCCTAAACAGAGGTCTACAGCAGGTGGGTCTGGCGGCCACGTGGCGGGCAGGGGACAGATGGCAAGCTCCACACACGCGACCAGGATCGCTCCAGAATCAGGTCTTTATTTTTATGACTGCATGGATTTACATTTTCCTAAAATCACTTTGGCTCCACTGGAGGAGAAAGACTGAGTGGCAGGGATGTTATTTTTGATCTAATAAGACTTTGTGATCAAGACACTGGGGAAGTGGACTGAGAACGAGGAAGTGCTGAATGGGGTTTTAAAAAATCACTTCATTATTTTAACCCAAATGAAGTCTGGAAAGACATGGAAAAGACTGAAACTTGCACACTGCATTCAGCATGTTAGGAAACAGGATCGTGCTTATCTGGTGAAGCTAAGGGTCTGTTTAAAAGCAGGTAAGGTGACATTGTGGAAGCCTGGTGGATCACAGAGTGCAAACCTTGGACAAATCACACCTTCTGGGCTGCAGTTCTGTACTGTACGACGAAGGGTTCAGGGTTCTTAACGTGAGCTGTACACAGAAGTGTCTATCAATACAACTGGTTTCTTTTATAATTCTACGTGTTTTACTTAAGTTTTAAACCAGTCTCTTATTCTGAAAAGGGGTTGGTGACATAAAAAAATGGTAAGTTCTGTGTAATCTTTAGGGTCAATTACAACTGTTAAATGACAGGATTCATGTCATTTATGGCATTCGTTAGTTTTTTTTTTTTGGTACCGGGGATGGAACTCGGGTCTTTGCGCTTGCGCAGCAGGCAGCAAAACCACTGAGCTAAATCCCCGGCCCAATTTATGGCATTCATAATGGCAATTCAATACAAGGACTAAAAGAGAATGCTGCTGGCTGAGGATGAGATGCAGGAAAAGCACAACAGCACCAACCAGAAAAGTACACATGGATTAGAAGTCTGATCCAGGTTCGTCCTACTCTACCTCTTCAATTCTGGGTCTCCTTTGTACCCTCGGTTGATGCTGGTACTAACAGGGCTCGGTGGCTTCCTCTTCCCCTTAAACCTTTAGAACAACTGCATTGGTAAAGGCGATGGGAGAAAGTTGAGTACATAAAAGATCATGTAAGGAAGACCCTGGTAATGTCAACAATCAAATAAAGAAGGCAAGAACAGAAACCTTCATGATAATATTCAGACACAAAACTATCTGGGAAAGAAGCTAAGTGAACAAAGATTACTTTTTTTAAAGTCAGAAAAGAAACACCTGGCTTTAAAAAGACGTGTGGAACAAACACTAGTTGTTACCATCTTACAGTGATAAGCCTAAGACTTCTGGTGGAAGGATCGCATCTCCACCGCGTCTTTACAGCCGTCTCCTGCCTCAGGAACTCAGCCTAAAGGAAGTGATTTACAAGGTCACTGTTGGCTTTCCAACTTAATATGCAGGCATCTATGACACAGGAAGGATATCTGATTAAAATAAGACACTTTAAGAATACTACCGAAGCAGAAGTTATAGGACATCTAACCATCAGATAAAACATGCACGAGGTAATTACTGCTTACTGTATTACCACTGCATACTTATTTAGCCAGATTAAACCATCAAAATGGTTCTGATTCATCGACGAAGGTCTCACTGCATCATTGGTTCAGGACTCAAAAGCACGTCTGGCATTAGCTTGAAAAGGCACAGAACGAGTACAATGATATAATTTGCAGTATCTTCTAAAATGACATCTACTTAGTATTTTAAAACTTTCCTATTCTAGCCATGGGTCTACACCAAGGCAGTCGGACAACTATTCAACTGAACAATGGAAGATCTTCAAAGCTGCAAAATCAACTCCAAGACTGAGCCACCCAGGGAACTGAGCTACACCCCAGAATCCCCTTTTTTCTTCATTTTTTATTCTGAGACAAGGCCAAGCTCTAAACTGCCCAGGCTGGGCTAGAGCTTGCTATTCTCCTGCCTCAGCCTCCCAGGGTGCTGGGATCATGGGCATGCACCATCTCGCCTGGCTCAGGGTTTATCTCCTAGAAACAACCTGAGGGCCCTTTACCATCCTCAGACAGTTTTCCTGGATAAGGACCAAAAGCATGTTTGTCTTCTTTCCTCCCTGACTATCAGGCTCCCAGATCTGTGTGGGAGGCAGGCTCCTGTCTCTACAGGCAGCTCTTTCTTCCACAGCGCCCCACATCTGCATATCGCTGAGCCCCGGGCAAGCGACTGGGGACCTCGGGCGGGCTTTAGTGTCACCTGCACCTTGAGTTCCAGCTAGTAATTGTCTTATAAGGAGTACTTAGTGCTATCTTTAGAAAACAGTCACTTTTTAGTAAAATACTGTCTGTGGCACGAATATTTCCAATAATTTGTTTTGCTTTGGAAAAACTGAGCCAAGCGAACTACAACTGCTTATAAACACATGAGTTTCATCCCTTTAGTCCAGGCAGTACAGGTTATATGCTCTGTGAATTAGAAAAAAGTCACAGTTCCCATTTCTGGAAGAACAACCACAATATTTACCAGGCATATGACGTTTAGAAATCATTCACAACCACACTTCGTTAGAAAATGAGCCCTCACTTAAGCGAATTTACCAAAGAAGAACACCCGGGCACACAAAATGTGTCAGAAGGGGGCTTTCATTGGCAAAATCATTTTTCCAAATATAACCTGGGCAAAAGTTGAAGAAATCCTTTGAGATGCTTAAAAGTCAAAGTCGCAGTGCAGCCTGGAACAAAGTCCTCACCTCCATCTCCACAGCGGCGATGCCCTGGTCATAGTGGCCCATGAGGTTAGGGAAGAAGGTCAGGTTGTAGGCCATCCTCGTGCACCGCGGGACGCTGATGGGCTCGCAGGTGAAGAGGCTGTGCCCCCTGGCCAGGGGCAGGAACACACACAGCGACAGGAAGGCGAACTTGCCCATTTCCCTCACGCTGGTTCCCACCCGAAGGATGAAATGCTCATATTCCTCATTTCATCATTTCACCATGCTGAAGGCGCTGTTTTCCTGCAAACGAGTCCGGGGTCAGTCTCTGTAAAAAGGGCAGGAGGGGAGGAGGGGATCGGCCCCAGTGGCCCCAAGCCACACGCAGGCCAAGGCCCGGAGTCAGAAGCGCAAGGTAGAAACCGCTGGCTGCCGTGGGAAGGGGTGGGAAAGTCCGCCCGCGCCGCCCTTTCATCTGCCGGGGCAGAGGGTGTGTAATTTGCAGGGCAGCCTCCCCTCCGGGCCCTGGAGATTGAAGGTTTGTGCCTTGCGGGCCGCGGCGAAGGGGCAGGACAGGCGGGTTGCAGAAAGCAAGGACTGCGGTAAAGGCTAGGGGTACGTTCAGGGGGGATTCACAGGCACAAAATCCGGGGCCCTCTGGAAATCGTACTCCACACACGAACACTGAGGCGCGGGGGATCCCTGGGGAGCGGTTAGACTTTTAAGGACTCTGAAGAGGTCGCCTTAGCGGCAGTCTTGTGGATAAATTCTTATTCCTACTCTGGTTTCGTTTTTGCTTTTGCAAAGGCCGACCGGAGGGAGACGCGGGCTTCTTCCTGCGGGACAGGGAGACGCCCCTCACCCTCACCCTCACCCTCGCCCTCACCGGGAACTGGCTCAGGGCCAGGTCCTCTCCTCCGCCCGCGAACCTGCCCCGCGCCCGGCCCCTGACCCGGCCCAGCCTCACCGACCCGGCCCGAGCGACACCGGCCCCGTCCCCCCGCCGCCCGCGCGGCCCGCGCCCCGCACCCCCGACCCGGGCCCCGGCCGTCCTCACCCGCGGTCGCGGCCCCTGTCGCTGCCCGGTCCCCGCCACCCGACGGCCGAGCGCGATCCCGCGAGACTGAGCCGCGCCGGGCAGGTCCGGGCGGGCCGGGAGGCTGGGTCCGGGCCCGCCCCACGCTGCGCCGCCGGTTCTGCGCCCGCCGTTCCGCACCTGCCCGGCCGGGTCCTGAGCGCTTCTCACCCTGTTTTCTGCGTCCCCCGGGTCCCGCACCTGCCCGGCGCGGTTCTCTGCCGCCCCGCACGGTTCTGAGTGCGCCGGCCCGGGGAGCAGCCATTGGTCAGGGAGGACGAGGCAGGCTGCGCCCTGTCTGGCTTTCTGGGTCGGGAAAGGTTCGCCCAGGTATTGTTTTTCAGAACCCATTTCACTTCGGATTTCAGGGACCAAGAATCCTCGCCTCACGGGGCCAGTTTGCTTTGTCAAGTCAATGCCCAAGCGACCTGGGTTGGGCTAGGAAACTTCCTAACGGCTCCATCCATCCACCCATCCATCGGTCATCGATCCATCCTTTGATCAATGCAGGGCGTCTGGTCAGCAGCCCGCAGTGCAGCTGGCCGGCTGCTAGCTCTGGCAGGCCCTGAGTTTCCTGGCTGCAAACTGTGGCCGAAAGTCGGACAGCTTTAGACGTCAACCCCACTTTCAGGGCAGGTCTGCCCCGCAGCATCTCCGCTGCGTCATCAACCTTTCAGGGCCTGAGCCGCTCCCGTCTGTTTGAGCTGCAGCGATGGCCACAGGCTCTGAGGTCCAAATGAGAGCAGCACCGGGCCTTGCACAGGCACGGGCATCACCAGCAAGCACTTCCCCGGGGTTGGGCAGGTCGTGCGACACGAATGAACTCGCAGAAACTGACAAATGCCAGGCGACTTCAGTGGGGCCCATTGGAGAAACTGCCCGAGGAGGAAACCAATGTCACCTTTCAGTATCTGGGCTGCAGGAGGCCACTAAATAACGGGAAGTAAGAGTTTGAAATCTGTAAAATGCCAAATGGGCAGAGGCTGTAATTTGGAGAGGATTTCTCCCAGCTCTATCAAAAGCTTAGGACTCCAGGGAGGGGCGAGGTGGTCCTGAAGGACTGGTGATGTCCCCAAGAGCCAGGCATCTTGTACTGCAGATAGGTTTCGATGAAGGATGCTTGTAAGAAGGCTGTTTCTGCATGTTTCTATAGAGCAAGAGTATTTCTCCCTACATTTCTAAATAGAAAGAACATTACTCCCTGTTCTTACAAACATAATGATCCTTTCTGTGATCAGGCTGGAGTATCAGAGCCAGGCAGTGACATTTAAATTTATACATTTGAAATTCAAATAAGCACACGTTACATGATCTGGAAGAGAAAATGGCGCAAACTTTAGAAATAAAGCCTATTTTATCTTTAATTACCTTTAACTATGTAGTGAATGGTGATAAACAGAATGATTTTGGAAGCTTATAGACAGGAAATGTGACATTAACCACTTCTCTGTATCATCCTTCGTCTCTCAACATAAACGCATCATCTCAGTGGCTCATGGTTAAGCACTGACCTGTGCTTAAACTGGCTCCAGCTCTTACTCTGGACAAACTTGAACACAGTACTCAGTCCCTCTTTGCCTTACCATCGGGGCAAGCTATGCAACTCTCTGACAGTGTAGTTTGCTATTTTCCTTCTCGTTCTCTTCCTATTGTTTCTCTGGGCTGAGGCTGGGAGATAGTAGTGACCAAAAAGAGGAGCACACTTTTATTCCTGAAGGATAATTTTGTAAGGCACAGATTTCTACTTGATAGGTTCTTTTTCCCCCCTCTCAACATTTTAAATATTTCACTTCACTCTCTTCTTGTTTGCCTGGTTCCCAAGAATTCAGATGTAGTTCTCATCTTTTTTTGGTACCAGGGATTGAACTCAGGACCTTGGGCTTGCAAGGCAGGCACCGGAACCACTGAGCTAAATCTCCAGCCCTGTAGTTCTCATCTTTGTTGCTCTATAGGTAAGTTTCTTGCTATTGAAGAGCATAACACCATCTGTAGGTTTTTATAGCTGAGGAAGCTACCCTCTATTCCTAGTTTGCTGCATGTTTTTTTAATCATGAATGGGCATTGAATTTTATCAAATGCTTTATCTGCATCTATTTATGTGATCTTGTGGGGTTTTTCTTTAACCTATTGACATGATGGAGTCCATGAACTGATTTTCTAGTGTTGAACCATAGAATAAATCTTGGTTCTGGTGGGCACATTTGCATACATTGCTGGATTCTACTCCCTAATGTTCCATTGAGGAGTTTTATAGCTATGTTCATTAGAGATATGGTCTGTGGGTTTCTTTCTTCCTAACATTTTTGTCTGGCTTTGGTATTAGGAATACTGCTGTCCTACAATGAGCTGGGGAGGATTCCCTTTGCTCTTATCTTCTGGATGAGATTTTAAAGAATTGGCCTGGCATGGTTGGTGCCTGACATGGATTTAGAAGAAAAAGTCATTATCACTTTAAATATTCCTTCTGATCCTTTATCTCTTCTTCTCCTTCTGGTATTCTCATTATATATATGTGGTATTTGCATAGTTGTTCCACAGTTCTTGGATATTATGTTACATTTTTTTTTTGCCCAGACTTTTTCTACATTATGGAAGCTTTTATTAACATACCCTTAAGCTCAGAGCTTCTTTCCTCAACTATATCCAGGCCACTAATGAGCCCATCAAAGGCATTCTTAATTTTTGGGATAGTGAGGGTTTTTTTATTGTTGTCTCTAGCAGTTTTTATTTATTCTTCCTTCGAATTTCCATTTCTCTACTTTCATACCCATTTGTCTTCATAGTCTCTATTTTTTCCTTTACAACCAGTAGCATGTTAATCATAGTTATTTTAAGTTCCTGGTCTGAGAAGGCAGATATCTCTGCCACATCTGAGTCTGGTGTGATGCTTGGTCTGTGTCTTCAAGCTGTGAGTTTTGCTTGACAGTGTACCTTATAATTTATAGTCATGAGCTGGATTTGGTATGCTGGAGAGAGGAGCTGCACCAAGAGGACTTCAGGAATGTGGTGTCAAGGTGTGAAGGGGGAGGAAACCTCCTACAGACCCATGATTAAGTCTCAGGCCTGGTAAGCCTGTGTCCCCGTGTTGTGGGAAAGTGAGGCAGCTCAGTGTTACAGCCAAGTGTTACAGCTCTGTGTTACAGCTACTGTGATTTGAAGACATGAGAAAACTGAAAGTCACTCAAAGAGGTGGAGGAAAACCAAGCTTCATTAGCTGGCTGGCCCAGAGGAGTTTAATCACTCCAAATTCTGAGCCCCAAATAGGAATGGGAGCAATCTTATATAGAGATCTATGGGGTGGGGGTGGGGGTGAGCATGCTCATTCAAGTGGATGGGCAGAGTTAACAGAACATTCTTGAAACCTTAGGTTAAAACATCATGCAGCATGTACAAACAGTTACATTTCTTGAACAGAACATTTTATGGCAAAAACATGAGGGAGGGAGGCAAAGGCCTACCCTCTTGTGCATTATTTCCTTATCACCTGGGCTGTGAACTTTACAAGTACTCTTCAGTTTTAAGTTTTCCTTTAGTGGGACAAGATGCCCAGAGCAGGTAGGGTTGGCTATTTCCTTTCCCCTAGGTTGGTTAGCTCTGGTGAAGCCCCATAGTTCAGGCTCTGTAAAGTCCTTTCCCTTACAGCAAGCCTTATTAAGACAAGAGGATGCTCAGGCAATGTGTTAGGCCCTGGATAATCAACTTGGCAGGTAGAGAGGTTTATTTGGTTCATGGTTTCAGAGGCCTCAGTCCATGGTGACTTGGCCCTGTTGCTCTGGGCCTGTGGCAAGGAGACCATCACGGCAGGAGAGTAGGGTAGGGGAAGCTCCTTATCTAGCATGCATGAGGCTAAAAATATAGTAAAATAAAGTAATGCCAGGAGCTACAATAACCCAAGAGAGTTATGCAATTTGGCTTTTTGGCTTTTTTTTTTTTTGGTACTGGGGATCTAATTCAGAACCTTGTGCTTGCCAGGCAAGTGCGGCACCACTGAGCTACATCCCTGGCCCGGCATTATTGTTAATAGAACACTGTATATATGAAAATTTTGATTATAACATAATTAGATGATTTTTCTGAAATTAAGGTTATAAAATAAATTACTGAAGTTTTACCATAGTAGTTTTAATTTTATTACTTATCCAAACATCTCCAGCCTATCACCAGGCTATGCGGATACATGCAATAATAATTAAATCTATTAATCTTTGATATTTTGTTTATTCTAATAAAACACAGTTTTACATATTTAAAACTTTTTTATCTTCACAAAGATACACTTTTTTTCAAGGTAGGGCAGCACACACTTTGGAAGTTTGAGCATTTGATCTATGACTGTTAACTAGCTGGCCCACAAAAGCTCTATCCATGGCTCCAGTCTCTTCAAGTGACATTTGTGAATTTAGTGACACATTGACTTAACTCAGAGGAGCCTGTGAACATGACACAGAGGATAACCTTTATTTAAAAACTAACTTTCACATGATACCATTACCTGTTCTCCTCTCTAAAAGCTAATTGCTGCGGTGTTTTTAGCATGCCAGTTAACCTTTGGGTGTTATCCATTATGCTTGGCCAGAAATACTATACCTTCTAATTACTACCTCCAGTATTACCAGAAAAATAAAATTTTCAGTGCAGTAGTAACATGACACTGCAGGAGAGAGCCACATAGTTTAATGACAGTTTGATGTATTTGATTGCCTCTTTGGAACTCTGGTTTTGCAATTTAGAAATAAAAAGATTTATAATCCTGAAGAAAAACAGGCTTAGCTCTGTTGATGCTGTGAGCTACATTCTGGGCCTGTGCATTCACCCTGCTAGGTTTTGTTTCTGGTGGCTTCGATACTACCACCTGGTCATCTTTAGTATTTAATATCTTATTTTTTTGTAGAAAACCAGCTGTGTTAAGTGAAATATTAGAAATAGTATTTCCACTAAGGCTGCTAGCATCTAGCAAAGGGCTTTTTATTTCAAATTTAGTGGTTTAGAAAATAACTGAACAATTTTCTTACTATTTTCAACAACACTGATGGAGCTGGAGGACATTAACCCAAGTGAAGCAGGCCAGACACAGAAAGCCAAATACAGCGTGGACTCTAGAGATGCTGAACGTATAGAGGTGGAGTAGAAAGGGGCTGTCGGGGGCTGACCGCTGGGGAAACGGAGATGAGGTCAGAGGATGCAAACTTTCAGTTGTAAGAGGATTCGGTTCTGAGGACCTAGTATACACATGTGAGGGCAGCTGATAACACTTAGTTACTTCCTTCATTGCCAGGACAAAATACCCGGCAACCACAACTTAAAGAGAGGTTTATTCTGGCTCACATCTTCGTCTACAGTCAGCGGGCTCCCGCACTGAACAGCAGGAGAGAGAGCCTGGCGGAGGCACCGCCCACAACATGGCGGACCGGAAGCAGCGCGGAAGGGAGGAGCCACAGGGAGACGAACCCTTCCTGGCCACGCCTCTTCCAGCCAGGCCCCGCCTCCTACCGGCCACTCCGGGGAGCCTCCAGGATTTGATCACCTTCCGAAGTTCGCACCTATGAGTGCAGGAGGCTTCCGGGGGACAGACTGGTATCATCCATGACAGATACTGGGCGTGCACTTGAAATTTGCTAAGCGAGCTGATCTCTGCCCTCCCTTCACCCCACCGAATGGTAATTATGTGAGGTGGTGGATCTGTTACTCCATGAAATGATTGTGACAATCATTTCACAACGTGTGTGCCAGATCGCCATGCTGAATACCTTGAATATACACAAATTCAATTTGTCAGTTCTCTCAGTAAAGCTAGGAGGAAAGTACTAGAAGAAGGAAGAGGAGGAGAAAGCCCGCAGGGGATAATTGTGTATAGTAGGACAAATGAAAGAAACCATGAATCAGTTTTTCCCAGAAAGCGGAATTAAGGAAATGTTGCTACCTCGCAGTTCCGTGGGAACGATGATACAGAGCAGGCGGGCTCTGGGGCTGGCTGAATGCAAAGCTGTGAGAGACCCAGAGTTCCCAGCATGCTGCTGGTTCGCAGGTGGTACCAGGAGAACTTAATGCAATAGATCTTTCGTGTTTTCACTTTAAGGCAGAGGCAGATTTACTACGAACTAACAAAGCTTAACCTTCAGGGACCTTTCCAAAGTTCTATCCACTTTGATATTTGAAGTCTCTTTTTCTTACCACAGATGCCTGCAGTTGTGTAAACTGAAGAACCTGACCCTGGAAATGCCAGAGCTGAGACTGGGGAACGGGCTCCCTCGGGCGGGTCTCCAGGCAGTTCACAACACTCAGGAGTCAGGTTGATTTCCGTTAGAAAGGGGGTTAGTGCAAGGGGAGGTTGCAGGCCTGTTTAAAAATTTATTCATTACAAACCTTGTAGAAGGAATTGACTTTCACATTATCACTTTGACAAGACCGACAACTTTGTTTACCGCCTGAGGGGAGGCGGCCACTGCGCAGCCGCTTCCACACGAGTCCTCGAGTAAGGGTGGGCGCCAGGGCCAGCTGGGCAGCTGTGACCCTCGGCCTCTGTCCCGGGGACCCTGCCTTCCAACTCAGAGCTCATGGGACCCCCGCTACCTGGCTCGGCCTTCCCCTTCTCCAAGTTCACCATCTTCTCCCAGGCAGGACCCCCACCGTATCTGTAAGCAGAATGGAGTTGCCTTCGAGGTGGTTTCGGCCTGTAAATAATTCCTCTGATGGACAACTAAAATCACTATGAGGATGTGGGTCAGCATTTGTTTCTTTGTAAATATAGTTTGGGATGATCACTTTTATTGTAAGACATGACTCTCACTTACATGACTCTACCTCTGCTCACATTAAGTGGATTATAATCTTATTTTAAGGGTAGTATTTTATTTTAAAGGATAATATTTTATGCAAAAAGAGATGACTTAACAAGGAATCATAAATAAATTACTTCCATTTTAGTGACAACTCTGGGTAGGATAAAGGTTGCATTTTAATTGGATGAACTAATGTATCATTGTGTAAACGAGTACAGGAGAATTCTCCCTGCAGCTCAGCATCTAGGGACCCAGCATAATTATGAGACAAGGAGGAAAGTCATTCGGTGCTTTCCTAAACAAAACGTTAATGGGTTTGCAACAAAAATGCAGTTGGCAAGTCTAGGCTTGATCTGAGTGAGATCGGGATGTGGGGAAAGGTCAGAGACAGATAGAGATGAAAGGTATATTTCCAAGGAAGCATAAGACACGGTGAGCTTTGGGTCCCTTGAAGTTCAATGGCGTAAAGGCCGTGTAAGGCAGAGACCCAAGGGCAGGGGGACAGTAACTTTTTTTGTTCACATGAAGCACACATTACTTTTAAAACTGTAGTGTGGGCTGGGGATTTAGCTCAGTGGTTCCAGTGCCTGCCTCGAAAGTGCAAGGTCCTGAGTTCAATTCCCAATACCAAAAAAAAAACCCCAAAAACCCCAAAAAACACAACTGTAGTGTGTATACAAGAGCATAGGGCAAGAATGAAATCAAAACACAAAGGAAAAAACAATCAGAGTCAGGTGCAGTGGTACACGCCTGTTATCCCAGCACTTAGGAGGCTGAGGCAGGACAATTGCCCCAAGTTCAAGGCCAGCCTGGGCTACATAGTGAGTCTGAGGCCAGCCTGAACAATAATGAGATCTTGTCTCAAAAAAACCCCAAACTAAACAAAACACCAGTGAGGTACTATTTCACAGCTGTTACAACAGCCGAAGTTAAAAACACCAACAACACCACAGGCAATGGCAGGGTGGACTGGAAGCAGACGGCCACTTCTTGAGGACTGAGCTCATTGCCATCCAGTGACTGTGCCCCTTGGTGTTTCTCCAGAGAGCTGAAAATGCAGGTCTGCGTGTGTGTACAGCGGCTGTATTCACACCTGCGGAGACGTGGGCGTCACCAGGACTGAGGTGAGGGCCCAGTCCCTCCGGGCTGCAGCGTTCTGCTCCACCGCGGAAGTGGAGATCACCAGGTCCAAGCGCTCTTCGGAAAAGGGGAGACCCGAGTGCCCATCTGGAGAAAGCAAACCCCCAGGACAGGCGTAGATCAGGGGTCCCGGGGGCTGCGGGGAAGGAGGGGAGAGCAGGCGGAGTGCGAGGGTCTGCAGGGTGGGGAACCTGTCCCGTTGACCCCGTGGTGTGGAAGTGGGTCACGTGTCTGTCAAGCCCCTCGGGCTGCAGGACAGGGCACCCAACAGAGAGGCGGCTGTGGGGACAGGGATATCTCCCCACGTGGGCCACCCTGGCGGTGGCAGGGGGCCCGGGAAGGAAGGGAACATGGGAACCCTCACCCGACTGTCCTGTAACCCTAACCCTGCTCTAAAAACAAAATCCTGCAGTTCTGGGAGAGTTCCCTGAACAAGTCTGGCGTCTGCACTTTGAGAGTCTGAGGGTTAAAGCGGGGGAGAGTTAGGAGGTCCCTAGCAGCCTTTAAAAATTAGAGCCAAGGAGTTGAGATTACAGGAGTTTAAAGGTGTCCTGAAACACCAGTTAGGCAGTGGATGAACTAGAAGGCAGCGAAGCTTGTGGATGTTGCTCAGTGGTAAAGCACTTTGCTAGCATTCTCAAGCCCTGGATTTGACCCCCAGCACCAAAAAACAAAAACAAAAAAACCTCTTTGCTGAGCATAGTGACACACACCTGTCATTCCAGCTACTCAGGAGGCTGAAGCAGGAGAATCTCAAGTTTGAGGATACCCTGGACAACTTAAACTGAGGTGGGATATTAGAAATAAAAGATAGGGTAGAAAGGAGAGACAGAAATCATAACTAAAAATTGTAATTTTAAGAAGACCGTGACTTTTGGCCCTCAGCTGAAGTCATCCAAGGCGATCCCTATCAGCATTCCTTTGATTGAATTTAGGTTCCTTCCCTTCCAGAACCATCACACCCTGAGTTCCTCAGGAATAGTGCAAGTCCGTAAACGGGCTTCACTGAGACAGTAAAGAGCAGGAGCCTGATCCTAAGATAAAGGAGCAGGTTGGCAGAATCCAAAGACTGTTTAAAGTAGCTACTCAACAAAACAAAACCCATGGCTGCCCATACCTGTGGTGCGCTGGGACCCTCCTGGGGGTGGCTGCCTTTCCACAGGGGTTCCAGGCCTCCTACAGAAGCATAAACGCTCCCCATCCCGGGACATGAGCATCTCGTTCCCCAGCCCAAGACCCGCACTGGGCTCCCCAGTGTCCCGAGTCTCTGTCTGATAAACCCTTCCCGCGCCTCTTACTGTGCATCCTGAAAACTCTTTCTCCGAGATGGGCATCAGTGACCGGCAAACCTGCTCTGCAGAAGGGCTTCGGGGACTTTCTCAACCCCAGCCCAGTGAGTGGCAAGACCTGGCCTCCAAATAGAATGGGTGGGGGCTGGGAGTGTAGCTAGGGGTAAAGGCCCTGGCTCAGTCCTGGTAAGGAAAAGGATCTCAGGAGGGTGGGGAGAGGATTCCCCAGCCCAGTCCCCTATGGGCCTGCAGGGGAGACTGCATCCGGGTCTGGACAGATGGCCCTAAAAAACCAGAGCCCAAACCAGGCCACAACCGGCACAAGTGTGATCCTGCCTACTCTAATGGGAAGCTCAGACAAGGCGGGGAAATTTCTCCGAGAGTGTGTGCCTTGATCGAACTTCGTCCAGGCTGGGAAGCAGAACTCTCATTCAGAAACACACCAGAGAGCTGTACCTGTCAGACTGCAGAGGATGTTGGGATAGGCGTCCCTGGCTTTTCCTGTGGGAATACTGGTCTAGCTGGTTTTCCTGTTGGACTGGTCTAACTGGTGGGGTGCTGGCAGGCTGTGGGGTTCAACAAGAGAAGCTGTGGTTAGAGATGTTTTGCATCTGTTGCGAGCTGCAGGGAGACTGTACAAGGGAGGAAGACCCGCATCACCTTGGAGTTAAGCATGAGGATTGGATCTGCCCTGGTCACTTTACTTAGGACTTGGTTCCCTGCAGAAGCCGATTTTGTGTGTTTTTTCTAAACCTGATTTGCAGACATTTTTGGTTCTGGGTGGGATGGAAACTCTTAAACTGGGAAATTGATTTTCTTTTGGAATGGGAGCATTTCTTCTGCTTGCTCCCATGCCTTGGTAGTGAGCTTTTAAAAAATATTTTTCCTGATCATGAGTTCCTGAGTTCAATAGTGACTTTCCTCAGAAGTAGGCAGTAAGAAAAACGAGTCTAGGGCAGGAGAAACCTGGAAAGGGAATGAGGTGTTGGTGACATTCCAGACTGAAAGGGCCTGGGGATGGCACAGGAAACACGCCAGCGGGTCTGGTGGCTGTGAGTCTGGTCCCTGAAGGTGGCACAGGAGGCGGTGGCAGCGTGAGGCTAAGAGCGAAGGCTTAGCTTCACACATCCTGGGTCCCAGCTCTGTGTCTTGGAAGCCGGCTGTGTTTGTCTGTCTGGAAATCAGCTCAATAATGAGCACACATTTCCCGCAGGCTGCTGTGAGGCTGTGCGCTGCAGTGAGATGATCCTTTGCACACACCTTTGTGTGCACTGGGTCCGTGAGGGGAGCCCCGGAAGATCCTAAGCATGCAGCACCCATTTGTTTCTGCTGTGCCCTGCGTGTCGCTGAGTAGAGACCCTGCGTGCATCTGTGTCCAGCACCTAGAGGACAGCTGGCTGTCCTCGTGTCTTCCCTGAAGTCTCTCCTTCTCCAGTGGGCTAGGTTTGTTCCTCAGCAGTCTCAGCGTCCCTGGAAGGTGGCCTTTCCGAACCTAGACTCGGACCTGGCATCTCGCTGCTTCTGCAGCACTTCTTTTGGGCAAAGCGAGTCATGAGAGCAGCCCAGATTCAAGCATGGGGAAGATGCTGCCTCTTGGGGAGAGGGGTTCAACAGTTACCCTGCAAAGGGGTGGATGGAGAGAAGGGAATGACCACCCCTCAGGAAGCAATCGTCCACACTACTCCGTGTAAGAACAGCTTCCTCTGCATTTCTGGCTGTCATGGGTCTGCATCGCCTCCGAGCTGGCAGCTCTGTGGCCAGAATGTCCTTCCTTACGCCTCCATGGAGACCCCGCTTTGCACAGGGCCTCTGAAGCACAGAAACGAAGGTCACGCAGGCTGCATCCTGCACAGGAAGCTGCAGGAAGTCTGCAGTTTCCTCTGATTTGTCACAGTTCTACCTTAGAGTAAAATAAAACATTGTGTATTTGTGGCTGATTTGTTTTAAAGAGCACATGATCAAGACTCACTTGGGCACGAGACAGCAGTCACTGTCATTGCGCCCATCCATTCATCTGTGCATATTCAGCATCCACTAAACAGCTTCCGCAGCTCGGGCGCACAGCTAAAGACGATGAAGAGCCTGGGATCTCAAGTCATGAAGATTTGAATCTAAGCCTCAGTTTACCACTCGCCAACCATGTGCCTGGGAGAGTTATTTAATTTCTGTAATTCTCAGCTTCTCCATCTGAAAATGAGTGTACTTATCCCTACCTCACAGGGCAATTGTGACAATGAAATTAAATAGCAGGCATAGCGCCTGGCTTCCAGTAGGCACTCAGCTATTGTGGTCATTTTTGTTGGTGTCATGCAGGAGCGACTGCTGCCTTGGGTGTTTCCTGTGGCCTTGTTGTCTCTCTTGTTATCCCCTGGTTTTGGCAGTTCTTCCTTCTTTAGGATGAGCGGTGTTCTGCGTGGACAGTGTTGCGCAGTGTGGCAGTTGGAATAAATGGTCTTTGGAGGCTGATGTGTCTGCTACTGAATCCTGGGTGACCCATTTACCAGCTGTGAATTCAGACTCGGTTTATAAATCAGAGCAATGAGGAGTATAATGCGTAGCTTTCAAAGGAGGGTTACACAAGCAAATGCTCACAAAGACGCTCACATGGGGCCCAAGCCCAAGGCTTCCTGTAGGAAGCCGTGGATTCTGGCCCATGCATTTTTGTGTAGCGTAGTGTCACAGGACGGATCTGAAGATGCTTGAGTGAATCACTCCGGCACTGGTAGTCTGCGCCACAGAGTATGGAGAAAGGGACAAATTCTGTGGCCCCAGGGTACCTTGCTCCAGTGGCCCTGGGCTCACTTCCTCCCTGTTGCTCCTGTGTCCCTTCGATGAGAAATAGAATTCACTGGCCAGAGATTTAACTCAGTGGTTCCGGTGCCTGCATCGCAAGCACAAGGTCCCGAGTTCGATCCCTGGTACCAAAAAAAAGAAGAAGAAGAAATAGAATTCACTAAGAGTGTAGAGGTGCGTTTCCTTCCAGCATAAACAATCCATATTGCTGACAGTCTTAGCTTCCCAAGAATGTGCCAGGCCTCCCTGTCCTCGGTGACCGAGTAGGACAGTCGGGACAGTTCAGGTTGGAAAGAAACTGCCCTCTTCTATCTGAGCGCGACGCCAGTTTCCTGTGGTGTTCATCAGACTTCGAAGCTGCTGTGAACTAAAGGGACAGGCAGCTCAGTAGCATTAACTAGTGTTGAGGGGTCATCCCCTTTCACTGTCTCCAGTGTTGCTCCGTGGTGGAAAGGAAGTCTGGAGCAAGCCACTTGTTTCCATGTTTTGGTGCCTTGGAAGGCTTCGAAAATCCAAGTCTTGTTTTGGGGAGATGGAGAGAATAGAGCCTGTCTACATCTGGCCCTCCTGGCAGAAACCAACCACAACTTTACCAGCATTGGGCTATTTTGTATTTGTATTTGTTTATAGAATGTAGAAAGATATCTTGGGGCTTTTTTTGTTGTTGTTGTTGTTTTAAATCCCGAGTCTTGGCAAAAGATAGCTCCCTCAAACAGGACGAGAGGGAGAGGGCTGCAGAACGACCAACAGCCTCAAATTGGCGGGTTGTGTTTTGTTTTGCTTTTCCTTAGTGTCGAGAGCTTGCACTGGTGCTAACAGTGCACCCAGGGACGCCTGCGGAGCGAGCCCTGACCCTGCTTGGCTCTGGGGCGAGGCCTGCTGTGTCTGGGGACAAGCCACCACCTGCCACCAAGGGCGTGTCTGCAGCGCAGGCTGGCAGGACTAGGCTCCGCCTGAGCCTTAACATTCCTTTCTGTTTACCCTTTCCTCAGCAGGCTCGCTTGCCAGTTACCTAACAGTGCACCACGTCAGCCACGCAGCGGAGTGAGGAAAGTATTTGGTGGGTCTTTCTTCTCACCCTGTGAGGGAATTGCTTCACTCCCGGGCAGGCCGCACCCAGCGATTCTGACCTGAACTGAGATAAGATGCTTCCTCCTCGTGAGTGCAAGCATGGTAAGCACTTGTGCAGCATCTAACATCTCGATGAGCTGCTGGCGACACATGGGCTGCCTCCACCGTGTGTGAGAGATAAGGCTCTGGACAAAAGAGCTGAAGTGACTGGGAGAGCCCCGGCCAGGCTGGGTGGGAAATGCATTGCGTAATGAGCGAAACACCTTCGCTGTTAGATGTGTCACTATGCAGACATCTGTGAGCACCGACACAGATCTTATCTTTATGGATATGATAAAGGAAAATCAGACTCCAACACAGCACAGCGGGCCAGGGTTAAAGCCCCTTAGCATGTCATCGTGGTGCCAGACACCGCCCCGGGACAAAACCGGAAGTGGGGAGGATGTGTCCACGTCACTGTGTCGATTCCCACACACAGTGTTTTGACAGCATTGTGACTTGTGTCGCACACCATGATGAGGTCAATCATCATAATAGCGAGTCTATCCTAGTATAATAATTGAGTCAAGTAAAAAATACATCTGCACTGTAAGAAAAATAAAGGCACGCTGAAATTACTTGTGGACAAAGACGAAT